CTTACATTTATGGACTTCTTTTTGATAACATTCAAAAAAACGTTTTTAGTGCCAAAAATAACATGATTTTTTTATATGTTACATTACTGCTGACTCATATATTCGTTGGTGACATCATCTCAATTTGTTATTTGATTATATATATCAATAACAGCTGTGGTATACTGCTTCCCTTTCTCATCTTCTATCTGTTTCGTCTACCATTTCATTCTTGGCTTGTGGCAGCAGTTATTTGTTTATTTTCTGAGCCTTACAGATTTGATTTCAAATTTATATATTTTTTTTTTGAATTTTTTTTTTTGTCGTTGTTGATGAAGTTTTTTTGGCATATTTTTTTGTGCAGTTAAGGTTGAAAGAGAAATTCAGAAAGACAAAGAAACAGATGTGACACCATTTTGTTGAATTTTTGACACATTTTTTGCTGTTTTTCGCATTTTTTTATGTGCAATAAAGGAGCTGAGTATGAAAAAGAATTATTATTATTATTTTTTTCTAAATTCATATTTACTGATAGCAGTTTTAATGAAATACAAGAGAAAAAAAAGAGTTTTAGGAAATGGTTGTTTTTTGTTTTTGTATATATCTTTGAGGCATTTAAAGGGGATCAGATGGTTATAATTAGTCTCTGTCGTTGTTGATTCTGTTGATTAGTTTTGAAGAAAAAAGAATTAGAACGACGTTAAATGATAGGAATATTGTCTGTCTGTTGGAAGGCTAAAAATTGTATTTTGTTACCAATGTTATCTGAAAAAAAAAAAAAAAAAAAGTGGAAATCAAATGAAGGTCAAAAGCACAGAATTGTATAGCATTGCTTTAGGTTGACATCAATACAACTCCGGTTACAGATTCAATTCATTGTTGCCTTTTCTATTCTCTCATAGCTATTCAGTTATTTTTTTCTTCTCTTCATTTTTTTTTAGCTTTTCTATCTGTTCAATAATAAGTTTTTCATTGTTTTTTAATTTTTTAACGGAAGAAAAAAAAAAGGAAATTAAGGATTGGGTGACGGGGAAAAAAGGGGAAATATACACCCTTTCAAATGGAAATGATTTTTTTTTTTGACTATTTATTTGATTTTTTTGCTTTCTTCAATTTTTTTTGCTACTTCTCTATTTTTATTCAAAACTGTTATCAAATGGATGTTCGAGAAAAATAAATTTATGAAAGTAGCATCATTGAAAAGAGAAAAATAAAATAGCAAAGCAGATTAGTTTTGTTTTTAATTTTTTTTGTCTAACATATATTTCATTCGACTGAGCAAACTTTACAATTTTATTCTTTTTCACTTATACTTATTCTTAAAAACTGTATTAGTTTATTTTGATTTTATTTTTGGCACTATTTATTGGCTATGATTATAAATTTTTTTTTTTTTGTTCTGGTGATCATGAAGGGAGAGAAGAACAGAAGACAATCTGTATATTCTGCAATAAATTACTGAACAATTAACTGCAATGAAGAGCGGTTACTGATTGCTATTTTTTGCATGGAATCCTGTATAAAATTAGAAAAATTAATTTTTGGTTTTTTGCTCTTATTTTAAAGTTAATTTTTGAATGTTTAACAACTGATAATATGCTGTAAAAACAATGGAATTTTTATTTCATTTATTGTCCTCGTTTTTGTTGTTTTATTTTACCTGTTCTCAGTCTTTTTTATATTGGAAAGTTTTTTTTATTTTTTATTTTTTTGATTTATTGCATTGATTAGCAATTGTAATTAAATGTTTATTTTTAGTTAAATTGTGACTTATTTTTGGTTTTTTACTTTGAGAATCATACTGAAGTATGGCAAATAAATGGAATAAAGAAAGAAGGAGGTAAGAGGAAGGTGGGTGGCGATAGAGTTAAAAGGTAGGGAGTAGCTGATGAAACGGCGGAAGAGAATTGAAGAAGAAAAACTGAAAAAGGTGATGTGAATTTTGGGTTCACTATAATATTAGCTTCTTTGCCAGGTATAGTATCAATTTATTGGATTTTCAATTTTTAAATTCTGTAACAGATTGGTAAACTGTTACTGATATGTTGTAGGGATGATGATAATGGCAATGCTGTCCCGAACAAACTGGGAGATTAAGGGAAGAAGTAAGGGAGGAAAAAAACTATGCTTATTTTTTGAGCAGCAGATTAGCATTAATGCATTTGAGTATTGTTGAGTGATTGAATATCAGCATTTGAAGGTTACAAATTTGGTTCTGTTTGTTGGTTGTTCATTTTTTGAACTTTCATTAATTGTTCTGCTTTGGTCTTGTTGCTAACTGTTTTTTAGTGCTGTTGTTTTGCAGTTATAAATATGTATATTTTTTGATTTTAAAACTTTCTGATTACTGTTGTACGTCCTTGCCAAATAAATTGATGAGAATGACAGCACATGATTTGATGACAGTCTTTTTTTTTTTTGTTTCTTCTGCTTCTGCTTCTGCTACTGTTGTTTTTGTTGTTGGTTACATGCAATTAATTAGCATTCTGTAACTACTGATGTAGCTTTAAATGTATGTTTTTGTGTGTGTGTGTGTGTTCTGCTGGACGACAAAGGTATCAGTAGAATACAGAAAGCACACGATACAGGATCTGTTTTGATTAATGACAGAATCTAATAGCTTGTACATGTTTATTTGTTCTTTGTCTTGAGGTTTTTCTATCTTTATTTTTCTTCATCTATTATCAAAATATAGTGTTCAAACAAACAACTGATACATATAAAAAAATTTGTTACTGACAGCTTTTAAAAATTATTGACTTGTTCTTTTTTTTTTTTGTTTTATAAGTCTGTTTTATATACCCTACGATACGGTTTGTACATAACATTTATTCACATTTTTTGATTGTTAATGTATTTTTAACCTCTTGATCAGAATGGTACTGTATAAATGAATGACAAGAATAGTGAGGTTTTATTTGATTGAAATTGTAAATAAAAGCAATAAAATTATTGATGTCTTTGATTGTGAAAAATAAAACTATATACAAAAATATTTATGTCTTCGAAAAAAAGTTCCATTTTATTTTTTTTTCTGTTTTTATTAAAAATTTATTAGCTATTTCGGTAGAGTTTAATGACGTAAATTGCATTAATATAGATTTACATTGATGTTTATGTTTAGATATGTATACAAAAATGGAAATGGATCTGTTATATATGATGTACATTGTTTTATTGTTGAATAGTTTAGTTTATGCTTAGTATAGTTGGTAAAGGCAAGAACAAAAAAAAAACCAGAAATAGAAGAGGACTGATGGGAGCATATTCTAATTTTTGATTATCTGTTTCTTGAAAAAAAAAGAAAAAAACACGAGATTTTAGTTTTTTCTATGATTTTTTTTTTGTTGTTGTTATTACTGTTGTTTTACATCTGCAATTCTTTATGTTTTTTTAATTTGATGGACCAATATTTACTTGTTATTGCCGGATATTGATAGAGCTTTGCCAGTACAAACATTTAAAGATGATAGTAGGGAGCCAAAAAAAAAAAAAGGAAAAAAACGATGTAACTTTGACTTAATCGAAACCTATTTGTTAAATATGGCAGACTTGGATTGTAGATCTGTTTTTTTTTTCTTGATTTGTTAAAGTTTTTTGATAGCGATCAAAAAACAACGATATTTACTGAAACATTTTGACTACTTGTTGTTAGGAAATGTTCAGTTTATTGGTGAATGGTGGTAGTGGTAAATAAAACTATTTTAAAGGTTTGGGAGTATCAGGCTTTTTTTAGATGAACTATAACAGGGCTTCAGTTATTATTCTCATTTTTATTATGGTTATTATTATTACTACTTTTGTCTTATTGGCACCAATGGTAGTGTATTTGGTTGGCAGTTAACGATATTCTACTGATTGAAGATAAAAAAAAAATTCAGAATTGTTTTTTTTTTTCAACTGCTATTGCCCAATTTAGAGCTTTTTATTTCTGTAGTTATATTGTAAATTAGTTATGATAGATGTTTGTTCTGTTTATACTACAGCTTTAAAATAAATAATTATAATTGTTCAACAAAGCGGCACTTTAGATGTAGTTCTTTGCTTTTGGTAAGAATCTTTAAATGTTTTTTTTTTTCGGGTATTATTATTATAATTTTTGCAAAAAAAGTTGGTGACTGTATTGCTGCTATTGCTTTTACTTCTGCTGTTGCTGCTAAAGATCCTGTTATTGAAATTAATTAATGCTATCAAAAAGCTATAAAGTTGGTTTAATTGATTCTAACTGTTGACTGTCTTTGGTTGATAAGATTTTTTGCGTTTATTTTTACTTTTTTATATCGAAAATGAGACAAAAAAAAAAAAGGGAAGGTTTTCTTGTGATATATAAGTAAAAGTTCTGTTCTGTTTTACTTATTTCAGTTGACTGGTTCTTTAGTAAAATTGTTTTAATGTGTTAGTCTTCTGATCGTCTAAAGATTGGACTGAGGAGGGGGGGATAGACAACAAATAGGATGAAGCATTAGCCATTGTGAAAGAGAGTCTAAATTGTGAATGTTTTCTGTTTGAAACATTAATATTGTTGGACAAAAAAAGGCATTCTATTTTTTTTTTTTTGATCTATTTTATAATATATTCAGGAAGAAAAGAAGGAGAAAGAAAAACAGTTTAAAAACTGAAAAGCTTTATCGTTTTGTGTCATTAAATTTTTTCGTCTTTTGTTGACCAGAAGAAATATTTGTATGTATTTTTGAGTTATGTAATTGTTTTTGTGCACATTGTTTTACGCTTCTATTTGCTTAATTGGATACATGGTAAATTGATTGAACGAAGAATTTTATATTTTGCTTCTTATTGGTATTAATAATATTTTTTTTTCTTTTTAGACGTTTTTTCTAATAGAAAGAAAATGAAAAAGGAGTAGAAAAAAAGCCTGTGTAGAGAAAACTTATTAAG